AGGTACCACGGCCACATGGTGCCTGGGGAGGTGCCGGAGACTCTGCAGGGCCTGGGGACCCAGGCTTGTGTCACGGTCACCGTACAGGATCAGGGTGGGCGTCTTGGTAAGGGGAGAAAGAAAACCAGAGTGGTTGTCAGAAGGGGAAATGGCCACCACGCTTCCCCTGGGCTGTGCCCACCTCCATCACCATGGGGGCTGCAAAGCTGAGGGGAGGCAGGTGCCAGCCCCCCCATGAGCCTGTGGGGGCACAGGTCCCCCTCCCTCACCCCAAAACACAGCCACCCTCCATGCCACCCTACAGCCAGCTGACCCACAAGGCTCACCAGTGTCCAGAGACCCCCCAGGAGCCCAACAGCCCGCCTCACCTGGACCCGCTGGTACTGCTCAGCAGCGTAGTCCTTGGTGCCCACAGGTGCAATGGGCACGAAGCCGGCCAGCTGGTCCCCCCGCGCCAGGAGAAAGGGCAGGGCAAAGCGGCCACTCATGGAGGGGCTGATGAGAACGGGCCTCCGCATGCCCAGCTCCTGGAGGACATGGTCCAGGAAAGCCACCCGGCCCTGTGCCGTGGCCACCATCTCCACTGGGGGCGAATCCCCATAGCCTGGCATTGGGCAGAGGGCACAGGGTGGGCACAGGGCAGGGCGATTGTGCAGCCTGCCATGGTCTCTGCCCCCAAGGCTCAGCTGGCTTGGCAAAAAATGGGCACCCTATCAAGCCCTGGCAGTTGTAAAGCCACAGCCACATGCCAGCTGGACCGAGCCAACCCCAGCCAAAGGGTCTGCGTGGCCATGGAGGTTAATGCCCCGGGGCAAAGCCAAGTCCCAGGCACACCGCCCCAGGGACCACCGCTAGCTGCCCAAAGAGGTCCAAAGCCCTCCCTAAAGAGGTCCAGAGCCCAGCGGTGGCTGAGGTGAGGGACTGGAGCTGCTCAGAGGGATCAACTTAAGCACAGTGCCATGGTCCTACCGGGCAGATCTATTGCGACCGCACGGTAGCCTTCTCCGGCGAGCAGTGCCAGTGTGCCCAAGGCCTCCCACGTCTTGGAGGTGAACGCCCGGCCATGCAGGAACAGGACATCAGGCCTGTGGTGGGGAAGACAGGCGGGAAGGTGTTCAGGGAAGATGCCATACCTACAGGTGTCCAGCAGCCATGACAGCTGGTGGACACCAATGCCCAGGGCCTGTCCCCCCCCCACCTTCCTCCGCCACAGGAGCCCGCGGGCCGACCCACCTCCCAGGGCTGGTGGTGCCACTGGCCTGAGGCCCTGCGGAAACCTCCCTGTAGAAGACAGGGGGGTCTCCCACAGCCATCCCCATTCGCGCAGTGGCGTTGGCCGCCCACCGGCCCCGCTGCCCCTTGTCAGGTCGGGTGCCCGCCAAGGGCTGCTCGTGCTGGGCGGCTGGGAGCAGGAGGTAGAGGGCGAGGGTGAGGAGCGCCCCGAGGAGCAGGAGCCCCAGGCGGCTGCGGGCAGGCGGCATCTCCACTCCTCCTGGAGAAGGAAAATGGCGGCGAGGGGCTGGAAACCCCAAACCCCACCGC